GAGGATTGTTCTGGGTGAATCTACTGCCGGCGGAACGCACTGTATCTAAGTAGAAACTGTCGTCTGTTGGGATGTTCAAAGCCCGCTGAAACCTGGTCCCAGCACCGTTGATGCCGGAAGAAGCCTTGATACTATTTCCACCTGGCTTAGGTGCGCGGTCGAGCAGCCGGACCGAGGCGCCCTCTCGCAGCGCTTCGTGAGCAGCGGACAAGCCGGCAAGTCCGGAGCCAACTACGATCACGGGCTTTTTCGCAGTGGCTGGCATTGTCGTGAATAGCAAATTAGATAGCCGGTTGAGAGCGACGCCGGGACTAGGTCGAAAGAAAACCATGCATAGAACTGCAGTAAAAGCACCGATAAGAAAATAAACAAACAATATACGGAAGCGGTGTCGTCTAATTCTCATGGGCATGTTTAGACGAAATTAATTCTGGGAAATAGGCTGCTGATTATTCTTATTGCATACTTGGATATGACTATTAAGCCGGAGTTGGTGCGGATGACTGACGCTGTCGTATGATAGCTGACGACAACTTATCGTACGATGCGTGGGATGAGAAGGAAGCGCCACATCTTTCCTGTCGTTAGTTTCCGGCTGTTTTAGGTGGGAAAATAGAGGCTAGGTAGCACAACGTAGTACGGCATATTACGGCCTCGGACGATGGCACCGAGAATCATCGGGTCTCAATAAATATCGAATACCGTGGTCTTCCGGACTCTTATCGCCGTATCACCGTATCCCCGCTATAGGATCCGGTGTGTATAAGCGAGTTTGAGCGATGAATAAGTTGAATCCTAGGTTAGAACGCTACTGGATAAGATAGCTAGCTGGTAGGTTATAGGCTTATAAGCCTGGGTATTTTAGGTTTTGCGCTCCCAAAGCTTTATCTCAGGCCTTTATATTAATAACCGCCTACAGTACCTAGAGGTACCTAATGTATCTAAGCCGAGGCAGTTTGCAGATCGATTTTTGGAGTTTGACGTTCTTATGTATTTTTACCAGCCTAAAAAAGAGGCTGTAGAGTTACCGGCACCAGCCACTAACCCCTATTGTCTTTCAGCTAATTTAGTGGATATTGTGCTTCCCATTAGCACCTTACCGTGTACTTTCGCTCTCTTTTCGTTCACCTTCCGTCCGATCGTTGCCGATGAAGTTCTGCAGCCCCAGATTGACTCTTCACAGTCGATGGCATTATGAAGTGAATGATTCATCGCGGTCCCGGATTCTCGCCCAAAATGGCAATACCACGGCGTCAAGCAACGAAGTTTGCGACCCGCGCCGATCCACCGGCAGGGTTACCGCGGAACGTTTTCCACGAAGTATCTAATAAATAATCCACATCAAAAACAATCCACGTAATTCGAGCTGGTGATTGCTCTTACTTGCCGGATTCATCGTCGATGTAACCTCAAAGTACGAGATTACTGTAACTTGGTGGAATGCATTGTGCTTGGTTGTTTACGATGAATATAAAGTCGCAAATTTTCACTCTCGCAAGGTCGCATGTCGAGTTTAAGGCCTACATATTTTCGTACGTAAATTTGCTGGCCCAAAAATGCGCGTAGGGTACTTCCTACTACCGTTGCTGCTCGTCGCCTCCAGCAGCGTGTGGAGCGCCGGATTCACCTCAGTTCGCGAGCTCAACGGCTGAACGAAAGTCGGCGCAAGTGCCACAACAAGACGGTTCATAGTCGAGTTGAAGTCCCGTGCGCACAGAGTCCACATATCTGCTAAAGGTGCTGGGCTCCCCGGGCTTCAAGTCAGATATCTTCTCGAGCGTGAGCATCGAGTGCGAGAGTCACTGGAGCGCCGAGTCGCTCGCAGACGCTCTTGATGCCGATGAAGGTTACTCTGTTGTACCTAGCATAGGTATACAAGTCAACCTTGGTACGCCTCTCGCCACCCGCGATCGAAGGCGAGCCGTTCAGCGACGACGCGGCTGCTGCCAGTTTACTCAGTCCATGGCTCTACAGGAGTCGAGAAGTTACATAAAGCCGGTATCATCGGCAAAAGCGCTGTCATCGCAGTCGTTGATAGCGGAGTCCAATATACTCACCCAGCGGTAGGTTATTTCACCTGTTCGATGAATATTTTCTTCCAAAGTAATCAAATGTCTACATTTTCTAATAACACTAACGGATTTATAGCTCGGCGGAGGAATTGGCCCGAATTATACGGTGATTGGCGGTTATGTTCTTGTTGGCCGTACTTCGTCTCACTTCCTAGCTTTTATCTAGGTGTTTTCCTTTGGGTACGCGTAAAAAACCGACTTGCATCTGTTTAAATTCGAATGGCGCCAGCTGAGCCTGACAACGATCCGATGGACGAGTATGGCTACGGCACTTATGTTGCTGGAATTATTGTCGGGAAAAGTGATACGTCACTATATCTCTCCCTTATAGAGGCTGACACTATATAGATTTGTTGGGGTTGCTCCCGGTGTCAAATTGCTATCTTTTAAGGTATTCGAGGACAGCGGCTACTTAAACGGAGAAACAATTATCGAGTCAGGCGTAAGTGCACTGGCATAGGCCGATATAATCAGCGAGAGCCTCGGAGGAAATGGCGGGTTCACGTTCCATTCTCGGGCCGTGCTTGCTTCGAGGATGGCTGAAAAAGCAGTGGATATGTCCACTGCCGCAGGGAACGCAGGTGAAAGTGGCCCATGTGATGCTAGCAATGGAGCTTCTGGAAAATGTCATTACTGTTGGAGCTGCAGAACCAGGTGAATTTCCAGCCCAGTATGTTTCGGCAGACTTCAAATAGATGGCCAGCCAAACAAAACCAATATCGCTTATATCCCATCGTCCGACGTTTTCCCTGACACCATCCTCGACTGGTCTATCAATGTAGTGTCACTCGACTCGTCCGTAAACGAAGACGCCTGTAACCCTCTGCCAGCTAATAACACCAGCTTTAACGGGACTATCGCCCTCGCTAGGATTGGGGGATGCGAGATTTCCGTCAAGCGTACCAATATTGCAGCCGTTGGTGCACAGTACATCCTGTTCTACAACGACGATAGGCCGTACCAAGCTTTGTGGCCCAACAACATGAGCTGCGTTATAACAGCCATAGTGGCTCTCTCCGGTGAGGCAATCATCGACGCGGTTGTCGTAGGTACCGAGGTTAGGGCGTCGTTCGATGTTGACACCAGCCACTGCGTCGGTCTTTATGATTCGGGCGGCGGTCGTCCAGCGGAATACAAATCTTGGGAGGGTTACTATGATCTCAGACTCCAGCCAGATGTCGCCGCCCCAGACATCGAGATCTTTTCTACGTATCCGACCAACCAATACCGAGTACTTAGCGGTTGAAGTATGGCCACTCCGTCCTTTGCCGGTGTGGCTACATTATTGGTAGATAAGTTTGGCGGGCAAGCCGCGCACGCAGATGATCCCGCCTAGGCAAAATGGCTAACCGAGAGAATCATGGGTACTTCTTGCGCCGTGCCCTGGGCTTGCTGGTCTACAAGCGCTATTGGCTAGGGGCTCTGGGCGCCTACCACTCAGTTTGGTACTGGGTTCATCGATGCCGAGCGCGTATTGGAATACTCTACAGAGCTCGGGTTTGAGGGTCGCAAATTTGAGCTTAATAACACGGCTCATTTCACCGACATGCACTCGGTTGAAATTACGAACCACGGCGATAAACCTGTTACATATACATTTTGGCTCCAAGCTGCCGGTGGCTACAGTTCATAGAACGTGGAAACCTGTCGTACCAGGCCATCCGCAGTTATTCCTTCCTGGATTTAAGCTTTATCCTGAGGTAAATATGGTGGAAATGACCCCAGAGTTTCATCTCCGGAAAGAGACTTCACACTCGCTCCTGGGAACACCAAAACAGCCGAGTACGAGATTGTCTTTACCGCCCCAAGGAGTTAAGTATGAAATGGAATTGATTGGTCTAACACTTTCAAAGATTCACTTTTACGGCCCCTGAAGGACTTACTCTAGTAATCTACTCGTTTACAGCGGTAAGTTCCTGATAAACGGGGATAACGGCGAGCACCTTGGAGTTCCTTACTTTGGTAAGTTTTTCGTACACGATGATACGTACTGACGTTCATCTAGATTTTGCTCCTGTCTAACTACAGAACCAGGCGTTGGTTGTGATCTCAACCTAATCATCACCAGTATTAGGGATTACGGTGGTAACTATCCTTGGTCAACATCTGGCGTTTCGGATACTCGTATCGAGCAGAAGTCCAAGTAAGCTCTGTGATTGTTTATGACGAGAATCTTCAGGGCCGCGCTTTTAACGTTCGATTAGCTTTATTCCAACCTGTCCATAAAACTTCCCTACATTTAATACAGGATTCACCTAGGGCAGGGAAGAGCTATGCTGAGATGTAAGTTTCCATTCGAAGTCCTGCAAACCAAATACGTAGACATGCTTGAACTGACAATCAGTCGATCCAGATCTTGGAAGAAAATAATACCAATCCGATTGAGCGTATCCTCCGAGGTTTGGTATATAAAAATGTGGGATCGGCTATAAGTTGGAATGGTGCATCGAAACCCGAGCGGTTTACACTGGGCCAAGACAGCGAGAATGATGTATTCTCATTCCCGGTGTGTAACTAGCCGCGCGACAAATGGGGAATATATTATTGGCTTGGGCAGTTTGCCAACGGTTCTAATATTCAACCTGGGTCTTACAGCTTTCGCATCGCTACTTTGAGACCGTTTGGCGATCCTCGAGTATCGCAGGATTGGGACATTCGGGAGACGCCCAAAGTCATGATCCTACCACTGACTAAAACAAATAGCTCAACCTAGGCATAGTTGTCTGATGTGACGTTCATACCTGAGCGGCTACAAGATATACAATGTAAAACGCTAAGTGGAGTCGTAAGATTTTGTTTTATTTTACTTTATTTATTTCTCCTCAAGAGAAAAATGTTAGTTGCGGTCGCCAACGGCATTAGACATAGTTGGGAAGGGGAAAAAAAAAAAAAGAGAAATTTACTTACGAAAAAATAAGAAAAAGGAATCTCTCGATCGGGGAATTGAACCCCGGCCACCTGCGATCATTAAAGATTGAATGACAAGCAGGTATCCTAACCACTAGACGAATCGAGAATTGTTATTAGATGTGACGAAAATTCGCTCATGATAATGTGGTATATACCAAGTAGCTATAGGGCTAGATATCTTAGTATGTGGGTCTATTCACGGCAAGCTAGGCTATTTTTGAGAACTTGCCGTTGTTAGTACCTCTCGCGATACGAAAAAGATTGAAAATCACCTAATTACAGGTAAATAAGTAAAAGAAATATTGCCGTACTCATCTCAAACCGATTGTACTCTTTTTCCTATTTGTTACAAGTTGCGCTTTTCCCTACAATACCTCGTTTCGATAAGATCATTCTACATCATTACCTCTCCAGTCTTAAAAAGTAGTCTGGAGTTTAGGATAATCTTGCGCATGGACGTGCAAATCCTTGAAGATGACATCTGAGTCGTCGCCCTGAAGACTCTCCATACGGTGAGTGTCTTCGTCTTCTAACCTCTCCAGCTCCTCTATTGGATCTTCTTGACCCTCTTTCTGGCCCTTTTGAGGCTCCGTGGCCTTTTGGATACCGCTCGATTCGCCAACTAGCAAAAACTGAGTGTTTACATAGTCGAGATGCTTGGGCTGCGTAGCGACCCAACGTAAAGCGCGGAATCCATCTTGTACACTACATGATAAATGATCAGTCGGCGGATGTTTTAGCTTGGCACAATCGCGCGAGGACTTACTCTTTTGGATACTCTGGCGCTTGAGGAAGAGCAGTTCCTTTGGGAGGCTCGTATTGCGGGTTTCTGGTGCTTATGATGAAACTTCCCTTCTCTCTTAATCCAATCTCTTTTTGCACCTCGCCAAGATTCTCTGGTAAAGTTACCATGTAGGCAAGATGGGACTCGCGGCCGGTACTCGTGATAGCGTAGATACCCTCAGCTACGGGCGTGGCAGCCGGTGTGTGTCGAACGCCGGCCGTTTTGGTGGTGTAGTCTGACGCAGAGATGAACTCGTCTTTCAACGTCTTAAACGAGGCATGCGACTTCTCAACGAACGCAATCCACCTATCCTTGCCACTTACCGGCAGTACCTTTTTCGGAATGGCGATCAGGCGGCTATTTCCAGCATCGTCGATCGTGCCGTTGCCGAGTTTTGCGTCTTTGGCCAAGGGACGCAGGACGATATAGCTGCGACGAATATCGCTGATACTGCTAGGCTCGTCGATACCTACCCGGCCGCGGATAAAAAAGTATATTATGCCCTTTTCCAAGATATTGGACGGGACGAGTCCCTCTCTTGCTCCCTCTCTTTCGGCCGAAATCTTTTCATCTGTTTGCTCTTGAACCACCCCATTCTTACCATTCTTCTTTTCCCCGTTGGTTGGAAGATGGCTTCTACCGTCGCCATACGCTTCAGTAGGGCTAATTGTACGTGTCAGCCGGTTATCGGTAACATAAGAAAGCGTGCGATGGACGTACCTTGGGATGGTGTCCTCTATGGTTTGCTGTTTTTTATCGCCGTCGTTTTTGGTCCGCTTGGATTCCGGTAACGCTTTCGTGTCGAGCTGGCGTTTAGAGCCCACACCCTCTCCATTGTGACTTTTTGACGCCGAGTCACCTTTGGCGCCGGATCTAGTCGTAGTCATATTGGCGGTGGCGCTTAGAAACAAAATTGGTATGGATAGGTATCTAGAGAGGATGTAAGCAATTTTATGGTTGCTCTCGACGGCGATTCAATTGATAGCTGTGTCAATTAGCTCGGAAGTTGAGAAGCAGACGTTAAAGCTTAGACGTCTACTTTTTGAAGAGAGTCTTACCCATAACTTGGATCACCGTGATGTCATTGATCTCATTCAAGGATGTTTATCCAAGTATGGGCAAGGAGCTTGGGCCACTCATCCTGATAGCTGATTTTTCCTCCAGGAACGTGAGGTCATATTAATCTGCATGGACCGCCAATGATACATGTAGTTCATCACAGTTTTGGGACATAAGACCAATATACCTTAGCGATCTTGAATATTCGAGCTATTATGTGGATGATCTTCATTCTCCTTGATGATATATACGGGTATCTTGTGATTTAAATGCGGTGCATGGTACTCAATCTGGGGAATTATTATAACATCTCCTACTGGATAATGGTATGCACGTCATGGCTCGAGCCATCATATGATCTGCGTATTTCTGCATGGTTGGGTCTACTCGACTAACCATTTTCAGGGACCGACATCTTTGACAATCGTTTACTCTATTTTCTTTCTATTTCGTATCAGCACTAGGATAGTTCAATCGAAATCTCCACCCCATTCTAGGATTGGAAGACTTAAAGTTAACAATGTCAATGCACCGGAAGCTAATGAAATAGCGTTTTCATTAGTTATCCTTCATGAACATATTGAGTTGAATTATCTCCTCACGTAATAAGAAGGCAAAATACATTGACCGTATACATCTAAGCGGTTAACCTGTTAGAACTATTCCCAACATCGTACGTTTTATCTCATCTTGAAGCTTTTATTTGCTAGCTCAAGCGGAGTATACATCTGTCTCCTTCTGGCGTCTGAGCACATGTCTTGTTAGGTAGCTTAGGTCAGTTACCTAAGGTATAAAATTATAATAATGCCGTCTCCGTTGCTCTCGTATTTCTTAACGCTAAGAGACGCTAGCTACCGGATGGTAGAGGACAAAGCGCTCAGTCGAGTGCGCTTCGTGATAGTACGACGCTTCCTTGCGATGGGCAATAGCAGACGTGTTTTAAGTCGCATTTGCTACAAGGCGCCCATCCACCTGAAACGCTTTGACTTAAAGGAGGTAGTATCGGCACCGCCAACACGCCAACACCAAGAACATCGACCCGAGCATCAACGACTTGTCATTCGTTCAAGAACTAGGTATATAAAAGCGATGAACAACTAAGTCGAGAAAATCTCTGCTAAGGCTGCGAAACACCTATCTCCATCAGCGACATGAAATGTCCTTCTGAACTGTAAACTTTCCTTCGTTCTGCTTGCGATTTACCCCTGAACCTGTGCCGCCGATTGCTCCACCGACCGGACATGCGTGCCAAGGGAGATCTCACCACCATCCCCGTCTCGGGTATTTCCCGATATCTCGGATGTTACCAAAACTATCAGTAGTTCTCGACTAGCAAAGGCTAGAACCGCGCCGAATGGAACGTCATTAAACTAAAGATTTCCCTTCTGGGAAAGTTGTCACCGCTGATTAGCTGAATACGATTTAGATCGCGCACAGATCGGTAACTTGTTCCGGACTCCTTTGGGTGTAGAAGTTAAGAAGTTCACATATATACGCCGCTCCCTCGCTTATAAAAAAGAAATCCGCGATGTCCAGTTGTTACGGCACATTCCCTTCCTCTCTTATGTTAAAACTACTTGCTAGACGGCAAAGAGATCCTATTGCAGGCTCAGCCGCTCACACTCATTAATTATCCTACCATTCATCAATACGCTCATTTTGATACATGTTTACTAAACTGGCTTCAGTTTTTATCTGCTAAACTCACACTCCTTAAAATGAAGCCGTCAACACTCGCTCTCCTCCTCGGCCCTGTGGGCATTGTAGCTAGGCCTTGTGGCGGCCATCGTTCTCAAACGGCTTCAAGTACTGTTTCGTCCACAGCATATATTGCTACTACAGCATCATCTACAAATAGCCAGCCTACTGCGGCATCATCTACAACTGTTCAGCCTACTTCGGCGTCGTCTATCGCTTCTATCACCTCCGCTTCCATCCCAAAAGTCACTCCTTCTGCTACGTCATCCACCAGCGAGCAGGTTAGCTCCTCTACGACGACCTCCGCTGCTCCAACATCTACTCAAGGCGGTGGTTCTTCGTCAGACAGCATCGACGAACTTTTCAAGGCCAAGGGGAAGCTTTATATTGGCACATCTGCCGACTCTTTTACCCTATCCAAAGGCCAAAATGCCGCTCTGATTAAAAAAGACTTTGGGCAAGTAACGCCTGAGAATAGCATGAAGTGGGATGCTATCGAACCGACTCGTGGTGGATTCAGCTTCGGCGGCTCCGACGCGCTCGTAAACTTCGCCGTGCAGAACGGTAAGAGCATTCGCGGTCACACGCTGCTCTGGTACCAGCAGCTGCCGGACTACGTCAAGACCATCACGGACAAACAGGAGCTTACCAGCGTTATCGAAAACCACATCAGCACCGTCGTTGGAAGATACAAGGGCAAGATTCGCGCTTGGGTACGTTAAAGCGGACCCCAGATATGACAGAGGCAGCATGGCTAATATCAAATCGATTTAGGACGTCGTCAACGAAATCTTTAACGAGGACGGCACTCTTCGCGACTGCGTCTTCACTAAAGTTTTAGGCGAAGACTTCGTCCGCATCGCCTTTGAAGCGGCGCGCAAGGCGGATCCGGACGCTAAGCTTTACATTAACGAGTTCCATCTCGAGAGCGGCACCTCTGCCAAGACCACTACCGGCATGTTCGAGCACGTCAAGAAGTGGATCGCCGCTGGTATTCCTATCGACGGTATCGGTCTCCAAGGCCACCTGGGCGGTGGTAACCCCAGCGCCAGCGGGATGCAAGCCGGGTTGGAGAAACTTGCTACCACCGGCGTGAAGGAACTTGCCATTACCGAACTAGACATCGTCAACGCGCCGGTCGACGAGTATGTCAAGGTCACCAAAGCTTGCCTTGCCGTCGAGAAGTGTGTTGGAATCACCCTATGGGGCGTGAGCGACGCCGTGAGTTCCGGAAGCCGAAGACCTGTGATATTAGAAACTAACTTTCCGTAGGACTCGTGGCTATCAAAGAGCTCGCCGCTCCTTTTCGATACCAACTACCAGCCCAAGCCCGCCTATGATGCTATTGTTAAAGCACTTTCATAGGCTAGCTCCACGAACCAGGTAGAAGAGCTTATCGCGCTCTTCCCCTAACCTCAAACGTCTTATAGGCTCTAATAGCCCCTGACTATAGTAAAGGAAGCCAGAAGGATAGGTCCCGATGAAACCCTTGGTGTATTATAATAATGGATCAAATCATATAATAATAATGTCATTACCTCCCATGAAGAAATGATACACAGTGC